GCCTGATCTAGCCGGCCTCAATGGTGTCACGAACGGTACCTCTCCCTGCGTGACGATTGGCGGCAGCGGATCTGGAGAGAGCTCCACCCAGTCTCTTCTCCAGCGACGGAGACCGAAGATAGAAGGTCCAAGATTCCACCCAGTCTCTTCTCCAGCGACGGAGACCGAAGATAGAAGGTCCAAGAACTGCTTCTATGTCTTCATGGACGGTGTCTTCAGTTGCCTCCTCTTCGACGTTTCCAGGTGGGCTGCGGCGCCGGGTCAAGGGCAACATAGCCGAGCTTGTGGGGCGGACGACGGAGAATGTTTTCAAACTACCTCAGTCACTTTTCTTGAATGGCCTCAGATATCCTCGTGATACGATCGCAGCGGGTGCGGACCGTCTCGTTCGAGATGAAGTTCGCTATACTTAACTCGCAGGATCGTCCTCAGGCATCGGTGGTCAAAGACCTCTCGTCCTCAGGGCACCGGTGGTCATAGACCTCCAGTCTTCGCACATCTTCAGCGCGCACAGCCCAGCATTCACATCCATAGAGGAGGACTGACCAGATGGATGCACTATATACACGAATCTTCGTGGCGATGGAGATGTTACGTCGGATCCATAGGCGTTTTTGAAGGATTGAGAAAACCTAGCGCGCAGCATCGAGTACACGAGTACAACTCGATTCTCTGGAGATCTTTATTTTCATTCCATCATCTCAGAATGCAAGCTTCTTCATTATCCAAATCAGTGACTGTCTGCCACCAGTCCAAAGTCCCAGTTTGCTCATAGTATCATAAAATCGGAGGTATTTATTAGGTTGAACCGAAAAAACCAGTTGATAGAAGCGGCAAAACAAGACGGAGTAACATTCATCTTGTACAGCATATACTAGGTTTTCAAGAATCTGCTGAGAGTAGAAAGACTGACTATCGAGCTGTGGCATGGATGAAAATGGCTCTACTTTTCGAAAAATGAGTTGATTCTGGCGTCGATGCTCTGGCGTTCTGCTCAAAACAATCGGAGAACCCAATAGTAGCGGACCCATGGTGGATTATTAATCTGCCCGAGTACAACATCGAGGTGTATTACATTCGGTAGGGATTCCTTGTGGGGCCGCCTGGGGAACGTGTGAAGCCCGCCCCTCAGGCTCACGGGCACCTGATTCTAGGAGAGAGGACGGGCAGAGCAC